CCACTGCAGTCTCGAACTGCTGGGCTCCGGCGATCCTTCCACCTCAGTCTTCCAAGTAGCCGGAACTACAGGTGCGCGCTACCATGCCCGGCTAATTTTTGATTTATTGTGGAGATGAGGTCTTGCCAAATTGCCCAGGCAGGTCTCGAACCAGCAGGCTCAGGCAATCCACTCACCTCAGCACTGGGATTACAGGCTGAGCCACCGAATTGAAGTCTCACTCCATGGCCCAGGTTGGAGTGTAGTGGCATGCTCATGGCCATCTCAGCGTTGTCCTGCTGGGCTCAGGTGATCCTTCCACCTCAGCCTTCCAAGTAGCCGGAACTATAGGCATGTGCTATCATGCCTGGCTAATTTATTTATTTATTTATTGTAGAGAAGAGGTCTCAGCAAGTTGCGTAGGCTGCTCTCGAATCCGTGGGCTCAGGCAATCCCCTCACCTCAGCCTTTCAAAGTGCTGGGATTACAGGCTTGAGCCACCGCACCTGGCTGACTTCTTATTCTTAACATTTAAAAAATGTTTATATTATGGACAATTTTAACCATAAACAAAGTGGAGAGAATAACACAGTGAACCTTCATTCAGCTACAATGACATCAACTCACTGTTACCCTTGTTTCAGCCACACTGTTTTCCCAACCTCAGTCCTTCCCAATCCCTTTATAGACTATGCTAAAGCAACTCCCAGATATCTCATCTATACATAAATATTTCAAGATGTGGCTCTTACAAACGTCCGAAAAAAGTTCAAAACTGAAACTGCAAATGTTAATGATTCCTTAATCATCACAGTCAAATTTTTAAACATAAGTGTAATATTTTCAAGGTTCATCTACATTGTAGCATGTCTGTGCCTCATACCTTTTTAGGGCTGAGTATTCATGAACAGACCACAGGTTGTTTACCCCTATCGATGGACACTTGGGCTGTTTCCATCTTTGAGCTATATGGTAAATAATGCACTATAAAAACAGGTGTGCAAGCATCTGATTGAATCCATGTTGTCAAACTTTTTGGGTATATACTTATGAGTGGAATTGCTGGATCATATAACAATCCTATGTTGAACTCTTTAAGAAACTACCAAACTGTTTTCCACAGCCATTGCACACAGTTACATTTCCACTAGCCATGGGAGAGTTCCAGTTTCTCCACATCCTCACCAACACTTACATCACACCACCCTAGCAGGTGTGAAGTGGTATTTCACTGTGGTTTTTGATTTGCTGTGCATCTTTTCTTGTGTTTACTAGGCACTTATCTTCTTTGGAGAAGATAAGTCTATTCAAGTCCACTGTCATTTATGAGGAGGGTTGGTTTTGTTTTGTTGTTGAGTTGTAGACATTCTTTTTCTCACCTCATGATTCAATCTTCCACAGGCATCACTGAACGTGGGCGCATGGGGAGCAGCAGTGCCCTGGCACCAGCAGTTGTGGCCTGGAGTCCTCCATTCTCACCACTCAGGGCACAGCCACCCCTAGCAAAGACACATCTTCACATGCACTCACTGCTGACCCTGACCGCCCCCCCCGGCCTCTGAAACTGGCCCAGGGTCTTGCTGCCCTCACCCCCACCATCCTCCTGGTGCCCTGGGTGCCCACAGCCCCTCTGGGCTTCTTGACCTCTGAGGGGGGAGATGGGAGGAGGGCAGGGCTGGAGGGAGGCAGTGAAAGCAGGAGTGCGGGTAGAGGTGGCTCCGTGGGCTGACAGGCTGGGCCAGAACCTCTCAAAGGGAGAGAACTTGAGGGAACTGATGGGGTCAGGGAGCTGCTGCTGAGACGTCTGGGGGAGCACGGCTTAGGCTGGAAGGAGAAGCCCCTTGATGCTGTCCAGGATGGAGGGCGTCATGTGTGAAGCCCAGGAAGACATGTTGCTGAGGGCTGTGTCTGGGCTGCCCACAGGCATCTGCCGTGTGAACTGGGGGTCAAACTGGCTCATATCCTTCTCTGACTGATGAATGAGCTCTGATGACAGAGTCATGTGGCACACCAGGAGGCCATCCTGATTCATGTGCTGAAAGAGGGGGTGCCTCTGCACATCAGCAGCACCCTCGGGTCACTCCTACTCTACTGGCTGGGATGCCACTTCAGAAACTTGTGACAAGGCCTTGGACATCTGGGGTGAAGTGTGGGGCAGTACCAGCTTCCCTTTGATGTCCTTATCCATGGACTTCTTTTGGTTCTCTGTGGCGAAGGACAATGATCTAGGGAGCATGTCCTACATAGGGTCCCCATGCTCCATCAGCCCACAGTCTGGCTGCAGCCACCACACATCTCAAGGACATGCACTCAGTGGTGCTGCAGGTGTGAGTGACGGCGCCCTCATGAATCGACTCCTTGCAGAGTCCAAAGGCCAGTCAGTTTGGTGTGGCCCTGGCTGTTGAGGACAATGTTCTTGGGTCTGAGGTCCTGGTTGATGATGTCTTGGGAGCAGAGATGGCCAGGGCCAGTGTGGTCCTGGTCAGGATGTGTCTTCCAGGAAGATGCCCTCCTGCTCCAGGTGCATGAAGAGCTCGCCACCACTGAGGCACTCGAGGCTGAGGTAGAGCTTGCTGCCAGTCTGGAAGGTATAGGCCAGTTCTACTGTAAGGGGTACTTCACTGACTAGAATTTTTGCTCAGCCCATGTGTGTGCTATGTCTTTAGTGCTGTGCATAACTTTGGCCTACTTAGGACTTCCATGGCACACATTTTGCCCAAGTTGGTGCCTTGCACCTTGGTCTTAGTCAGCCACACCTCCTCAGTATCCCACAGGCTCCAGGTCAGCCGCCTCCTCTTGGCAAAGGGACACACGTGGGGGTGTGGGGATGGACCCTAGCTCGCCCTCGCTGCCTTCCTCTGCCTCCAAGTCCAGATCAAACATGGCCACTAGAACAGCCCTGTGGGTCTCTTGGCCCATACCTGGCCACATCCTGACAGTCCCATATCTGTGCGTTATCACTCTGCCTCAGGCATTCTTTACATATTCTGGATAGTAAGCCCTTATCAGATATATGATTTGCAAATATTTTCTCCCATTCTGTGGGTTGTCTTTTCACTTCTGATAGTGTCCTTTGATGCATACAAGTTGGAAACTTTAATGAAGTCTAATTTATTTTTAAATTTTGTTGCCTTTGTTTTTTGGTGTCATAGCTAAACTCCATTGCCAAATACAGGATCAAGAAGACTTTGTATTACTTTCTCCTAAAAATTTTATAGCTTTTGCTCTTAGGTCTTTGATCCATTTTGAATTCATTCTTGTATATGAGTAAAGTGAGAGTTTGACTTTTCACTTTCTGCATGTTCATATGCAATTTTCCCAATACCATTTGTCTAAGAGATTGTTCTTTCCCCATTGGATGATCTTGGCACCCTTATGGAAAAATCAATCAACCAAGAAAGTTTATTTGGGAGGGTGTATTTCTCAGTTCAATTCTATTCCACTGGTTTGTAAGTTTGTCCTTATGCCAGTGACATGCTGCTTTGATCATGGCTGCTTTGTTAAGGTTTGAAATGGTATGAGCCCCCAACACCTTATTTTCCAAGACTGTTTGGGCTATTTGGGGTTCCTTGAAATTTCATATGAATCTTAGTTGTTTCAATTCCTGAAAAGAAAAAGAAAACAAAAAACAAGCAAAAAAAACCCCACTCCTGGGACTTTAATAGGGACTGCATTCTTCAGTCTCTTTTTTCTTTGGGATCTCCCCCTACTGTTTTTCATGTAATTTCCCGTAAGCTGCATCACACTGAGTGCATTCCTACAGCATAAATTAATATGTACTTTGGTCTGATTCAGGTTTGATTTTTTTTGGATAAGATGGCATCAATGGTGGCCCATGGTCGACTTCTATTACCAGGCCCGTAAGTGTTAGTTATCTCTCATTTTGTGACGCGAACAACCACTGATGGTCATTTTCTAAATCCAGGGTTTCAGTAAAGTTTGCAAAACGATGATATTCTAATTCCGTTATTCCTTTTTCATTTACAGTCTGAAGTACTTTTATAAAAGTTTTGTTGTAAGACTTTTCCTCAACAGTTGTAATCTTGACACACAGTTCATGCAGGAAACGCTGGCTGAACACTCCATTCTGTCCTCCATCAGCTTTCATACTCCTCTGGCATTCTCCAAAGGTCAGAAGTTAGATTATTTTTAATATTATTATGAACCCAGGAATTCTAAACAGTTAGTGAACTTTAGTCCACTACAATGATCATACTTATTGATGACCAAGTGGTGCCATGCCTGGCCCATGGTTTATCTTCCTTCTTGTGGTCTCTCAGTCCTCTGACATCATCCCAGCAGCCTTTAGGGGCCTACTTGCTTTGTGGTACTGCAAGATATTCCAGGCTTATTTTGTACATTCCCTGACCTTGACCTGGAATTGGTCATTTTTCTAGTGATGCTGGGGATGTCTGATGGTCCTGGATCAAAATACCTTTATGTTTATTAAAAATCAAGGGAAGCTCTATTTCTGTTTCTTTTTGTTCTAGACTCAGTTGTACTGATGGCTCAATGGTGTACTGACTAACCCATATTAACTGGAACATGTAAATCATGGCTGGAAGCACCTTCCTCTTGTGTTTAGCTAATTCAAATTCCTCCCTTAGTGGAGAACTGCTGACTTTCTGGACATGTCTGGCCTAGCCAAGGTTTAGCTTGGAGCAGAGCTCATAGAAAAACTTCTTAAAGAGATGCTCTAACTGAAGCCACACAGTCTAGTACCAATTTGCAGGTTCACGCCCAGCTCCCATGAGACTCTAAACTGGAAAGAGATGTCACTGCAGAGAAGCCAGAACAGAAGAGATGTGGGGCAATCCAAACCCTGGAAGTCGGCCATGCTCGATGCTCTCTCTTCTGTTCATGTTTCCTCCTACTCTCAGTTCTTTTTAAGTTTCCATTTTGATTCTGCAATGGGCCATCTTCTGGCATGTGAACCAACAACAGTACAACAATTTTTTCAGGCATAAGTAATTCCAAAATGGTTAAAAATTTTCTGCTTTAGGGAATGACCACAAAGAAGGTAGAGAAGTAAATAAGTAGGTTAAAAATATTGCCAAATAATTATATTAATAAAAAAAACCTTGCCTTTATTACAGATGAGCTTTGACTGCATAAATCCCATAAACACTCTGCCACTACTCAAACAAATGTCCAAGCTAGGTAGGGCACTGCAGGCTCTGGTCCTCAGGGAAGTCTTAGTCAAGCCCTCCACCTTAGCCCAGGGGGTTGCAGAGCTAATCAACACTTCCTTAGGCCAGGCCCAAGGTCATATTGCTCAGGCTCACGTTCCAGTGGCTCCTGAGTCAGCATGTAAGTGAAGAGACTCTGCTCATCTTATTCTGTTGATGCCTTTACTAGTTCAGAGGAGCCAGCTACGCTCTAGCCAAGCACTGCCAATCTGCAGATAACTAGCTCACAGACCTTGACCCTGCATGGGAGAAATGCCCACCAAGAGCCATCATTTTTCCTTTCCAAATGAAATGAGAATAGTAAAAAAATGGATGGAGGATGGATGCAGATCCAGCGCCTGTGCTGCATGTTCAGTTTTCTTTTTTTTTTGAGTTGGAGTCTCACTCGTCGCCTAGGCTAGAGTGCAGTGGCATGCTCACGGCCACTGCAGCCTCCATTTGGTGGGCTCAGGAGATCCTTCTTTTCAGTCTTCCAAGTAGCTGGAGCTATAGGTATGTGCCACCATGCCCGGCTAATTTTTCTTGATTTATTGTAGAGATGAGTTCTTGCCATGTTACCCAGGCGGGTCTGAAACCTGTGGGCTCAGGCAATCCTCTTGCCTTACCTCCCAAAGTACTGGGATTACAGGTGTGAGCCACTGCGCCCAGCTGTGTTCAGTTTCCTAACTCTTCTTGGCATTCAGTGCTGCTGTGAGGTACAGCTGCAGCCTATCTGCATGGGTCCACTGCCACCAGCAGAGGAGGGAGCTGCTCCCCCAGGCTGCATCAGCAAGAGGCTGGAATGTTCCCTGGGTGACTCAGGGGAGCTTCCAAACTCAGTGACTAATGCTGGTACCCAGAAAGAACAGTCATCCACTTTGTCTAACATGTCACACCTTCTTGGAGCATTTTTTAAACATTTTATTTTTTTGACTGTCAAAGGACATTTACTTTTTTTTTTTTTGTTGGAGTCTCACCCCATTGCCCAGGCTGGAGTGCAGTGGTATACTCAAGACCACCCCAGTGTCGACATGCTGGGCTCCAGCAATCTTTCTGCCTCAGCCTTCCAAGTAGCCGGGATTATAGGCGTGTGTTACCATGCCCGGCTAATTTTTTATTTATTGTAAAGATGAGGTCTCACCAAGTTGCCTAGGCTGTTCTCAAATCCAAGGGGTTAGGCAATCCACTTGCCCTGGTCTCCCAAAGTGCTGGGATTACAGGCTGAGCCACTGAGCCTGGCTTGGAACATTTTTAAAAGAGTACTTAGCTTAACTTTTGCTTTTCTGTCACGTCTGCTGTCTGAATGTAATCCATACCTTGGGTTTGTTTGGGTGTGCCAAGCGTGAAGCAGCAGTGATTGGGGAGCCAAAAATGTCACTGGTCTTCCCGCCAGGTGGGTTCAGATGCTGTCGTGTCTGCACAGGAGTCAATTCATCAAAGATACCACTTCCTTTCCCCCCTGTAGAAAAAGTCACAGAACACTGAGCATGTGGAACATTCATCTCATACTACCCCACTCATGGGTTACTTCAGAGACCTCCCCTCATAGTAGCAACGCCTAGTGCCAGCCAGAGTTCCAGGCCAACAGGGTGGGATGATCAGGCTCAAAATCCCTAAAGAGCTATGTCAGGGTACCCTTGAACCTGGCCTGCTGTGGCCTTCATGTCTAGAACTGAGCTGACTTGGGATGGCCTCTAGAGGAGAGATGGCATAAAATAGCACATTCTTTTCTTTAGAATTTCCTTAACCTTGTACATTTCATGCTTTCTTGTTGAAGCATCTTCTTATTAAACCCATGCAAAGTTCTTTAGTAGATAAAAAGTAAACAGCTAAATGTTTAGGTCACAAAGATAGAGTTTTGAATTTAATAACAAACCCATTCAAGGAAATCTGCTGTCCTGAAAATTCTGATCTCATTCTGGCTGGAACTTCTAGGGACAAATAGATATATTAGTGATTCAGAGACAAGAAACATCTTTGCTGCCAACTATAATTGACCTTATAAGCTGCACTGAAACTTTGTCTAAGATGTAACTTCCTGCTTTTTGGGTTAAGAAATGGGGTCTCGCTTTGTTGCCCAGGCTGGAGTGTAGTGATGTGATCATAGCTCGCTATAGCTTTGAACTCCTTGGCTCAAGCAATCCTCCAGCTTCAGCCTCCCAAGTAGCTTGGGTTACAGGTGCACACCACCACATCTGGCTAATTATTTAAAAAAATATTTTGTGGAGATGAGGTCTTACTAAGTTGCCCAGGTTCCTGGCCTCAAATGATCCTCCTAAAGTGCTAGAATCATAGGTGTGAGCCACCATTCCTGGCCCTAAGATATAACTTCTTATAAACCATGACTAAGACCTGGAGGTAAAGCATAAATGCTTGTGCCTATGTTAAGCTGAAAGTTGGCTACCCTATGAAACCAACTGATCATCTCTTCACTTAGCAGACACCAAGCACCTACTTTCCACATCTAGCACTATGCTAGATGGAGGTGGTATCATTAAAATCTTGGCCCTGGGCACCAAGAATTTATCTATAAGAGGGAAGAAGATGCACTTCCCTCACTTGCTCTGTGACTATATGAAAGTTATTTGGCTCTTCTGTGCCCCATATTCCTCATCTGTAGAATGGGCCTCACGGGGCTGTAGGAGGGGTCAGTGAGTTACTGCAGCGCCTATGGTAGATGCTTAGAACAGTGCCTGGGATAGAAATAATAACTGTTAGCTATATTTTCTAGGCAGTGATTAAGAGACATCTATACATACTGTTCAGTGAAAAAAGAAAGGTGCAAACACTCTACAAAGCATGCAGTATTTTCACTTAAAATAAGGGGGTGTTCTTATTTGCTTCTATCTGAATAAAGAAAAATGATTCTTCTCCCACCACACAGAAGTTGCTTAGGGTGCCAGGGACATGTGGGCAAGAAACGGAACAGATGGCATGTAGGGGCTTAAGGCTGCTTAATACATTCTTCTTTTTCTTTTAAACAGTTTTGATCTTTTGTTTTCAAAAAATTACATTTCCTCAATTTAGTTACTTAATTTAAAGACAGTTTATTCAAGCGCAACATTGGAGGATGGCCCATTTGGAAACATCAACTCCAAAGGGAGTGTTCTGGAGTAAGGAGGTTGAGTTCGTTTATACACGCAGAGACAGGAGTTTTTAGCAGAATTACAACATTACTCGTACAAGACTGGTGCACAATTACAGCACTTTGATTGGTTACAGGAAAAATTACATTTCATCAGAGACTACCCAGTTGTAGTAACCCACACTGCTCTACAGAAGGACATGAGCACCATAGAAAAAAGCTGGATGAGGAGCGCCGGGGAGCCCACAAGCAGACAAGGCTCTAGTCAGTGGTCTGTGCCCTCAGGGCCTTCAGACCTGTCTTGAGGGCCCACTGCTGCCATGCAGACTCAAGCACAGTGGTGTTCTGGGATACCAGTCAGCTTCTAGGGCATGGACTACAGTTCCAACAAGGACTGGAACAGTATAGCAAGTGGGGGCTCAGGTTGGGGTATTTACCTTTTTTGGGGTGATAGAACACTTGGGGATATGTGGGACTCCCTCTGCAGGAAAATGGGCACACCCACATTTGTAGAACTTAAGGTGACTATAAGCCTCCTGAACCTCAGCCACAGACCTCCCAGGCTGGAAACCCCTGGCCAGGGAAGCCAGCAAAGCATGGTGTTGAGAACAGGCATCCTGTGGCCAGACTGCTGAGGTTAGAGTACCTCTCAGTGACTCATTAACTGTGGGACCTTGGACAAGTTGCATCTCCATTTTCTCAACTTTCAAAAGGTAATAAATAGTGATTACAACAGTCCCACCTGTTGAGTAAGCCCTCAGTAATGCTGCTGGGCTGTGCTGGCAAGCATGCCCCCAGATCACAAGGTGGGGAAAAACTGTCCTATGAGACCCCTCCACGTTGTACAACTCCTGCTTGTGCTACAAAGACTTACATAACTTTTTTAAAAAGTGCATTCAGTTTTTTAAAAAATGAAGGGCTGGGTGTGGTGGCTTATGCTTGCAATCTCAGCACTTTGGGAGGCCAAGGTGAGAGGATTGCTTGAGCCCAGGAGTTCAAGACCAGACTGGGCAACATAGTAAGACTGCATCTCTACACAAAAATCAAAAAAATTAGCCGGGTATTGTGGTGTGTACCTATGGTCCCAGCTACTTGGGAGGCTGAGGCAAAAGGATCACCTGAGCCCAGGAGGTTGAGGTTGCAGCAAGCCATGATCATGCCACTGCACTCCAGCTTGGACAACAGAGTGAGATTTCAAGGCAGAAAATTAAATTGAAATTAAAATGTAAAATAAAAGTAATTCAATGTCAAGTTTTTGGCCAGGCATTGCTCTTTTTTTTTGAGCTGAAGCCTCACTCTGTCACCCAGGTTGGAGTGCAATAGCACGCTCATAGCCACCATAGCCTTGACTTGCTGGGCTCAGGCAATCTTTCTGCCTCAGCCTTCCAAGTAGCTGGAACTACAGGTGCACATTACCATACCTGGCTAATTTTTAAACTTATTGTTGCGATGAGGTCTCCAATCCCTGGGCTCAGGCAATCCTCTCACCTCAGCCTCCCAAAGTGCTGGGATTACTGCGTCCGCAGCACTGCTTATTTTAGGAAAAATCCGTAAGACATACTCGCATGCGTAACAAGGTGACCAACAGGTAACGAATGCCCAGGCCATATAGAACAGGAACAGTTCACAGAAACATCTTGTGAATCCCTTCTCTCTCACCAGTGGTAACCATACTTATGAATTTTCTGGAAACCATAAACTTGTTTTACCATGTATACGTGCTACCCTAAACATATACTTCTGTTTTTGAACTTTATAAAGTAGTAATCATACTGCATATGTGTACAACGCCACATTTTACTTGAAAGATGAATTCAGCTTTGAAGAAAATATGCCTAAATTCACTCATAACTAAAGAAAAATAAATTCAAGATATATGCTTTTAAAAACCAAATTGCAAAAGACCAACACTGTTGGAAACAAGCATGCATATACATTGGGGGTATACACTAGGCAACCTCTTCAAAGACTAGTTGGAAATATCTGTCAATATTCTAAATTCATATACCCTCTGATCCAACAGTTCCATTTCAGGCAATTGTAAGAAAGATTGTATCCCAGTGGATACATTTAGGAGGTCAGCTGGAAGCATGGGACCCAGAGTCAGGGAAAGCCTGATCCAACGGCCAGCTCTGCCACTGACTAGCCATGGGAATTAGGCATACCAGTGACTCTCCCTAGGCTTCAGTTTCCTCCTCTGTAAAAGGGGTAACGCTGCTTATCCTCCTAGGGTTACAGCAAAGACGCAAAGCACTTAGCATAGCTGCTGGCAAATATGGAGTAATCCATAAATACCAATGATTATTAGGAGAACACGGAATACAATTTGGGGAAAATCGAAACCAGGTCACTAACAAAAAACACACAATGGCTATGATGTAGTAAATCATACATATTCTTTGCTCCTGCATACATTCCCCAACCCGGCCCTGCAACTGAGGGACTGTGGTGCTGAGACTGCATGACTAAAGACAGAAAGAAGGCAGGACTCCAGATCTTGGGTGGTAGACACAACTAGCAGTTTCCCTTGGTAATACAAAGGGCACTTGGAGAGATGGAAAAACTCTAAACAACCATGAGAAGCAATGTGAGAAGCAGGAATCTGGCAAGGGGAGCCACACTAGCTGTTGCCACACCTTGTGACCATACACAGCAGAGGCTCAGCTGAGAAAGACTGAACTCCCCACTAGGCATGAGATTGTGCAAAGTGGCATAGCCTGCCCTGCAGGGACTATGACATACTCCAGGGACAGCTCCAAACACGCACTCTGCTGAGCGGGGCCGAGTGAGCACTCACTGGAAGTGCCTCAGATTTGATTCTATCTTGCATGCAACGTGCAGTTCTGCTGTCTTTGGTGTAGAGAATGTTCAGGGACAACCACTCCTGGCCCTAAACTCATAAACTAGGTACAATGAGAATATTAGTCACTTAGTAAGAACCACTTGCTTCTCTACTATAGCTACATCCAAGAAAACAACCAGACAAAAAACTAGCTTCTGACTCTAATGTTTCCCCCCGCCCCTGCTACAAATGGTCAGGAAATAATTTTTTTTTTTGAGTTGGAGTCTTACTCTGTCACTCAGGCTGGAGTGTAGTAGCATGCTCACGGCCACTGCAGCCTCAACCTGCTGGGCTCAGGTGATCTTTCCACTTCAGCCTTCCAAGCAGCTGGAACTACAAGCATGCACCACCATGACTGGCTACCTTTTTAAAAAATTTAATGTAGAGATGAGGTCTTGCCAAGTTGCCCAGGCTGGTCTTGAACCTGTGGGCTCAGACAATCCTCTCACCTTGTCCTCCCAAAGTGCTGGGATTATAGGCATGAGCCACTGTGCTCGGCCTGGTCAGGAAATATTTGCAACCAGAATTGGGGCAAGGAAGCAGGGACAGCTTTGGTTCTGCTTGACTTTGTATCTGCCTGACACACTGACTCCTGAGTGTGGCCTCTCAAGTCTTTGGAGGAGTGAGCCAACTGCGCTTTCCCCTCTGGGACAGACAGGGGAAGCTCCTTGGGTAACTGTCACTGTGCGTTGCTCAGCTGGACCCTCCGTCCACCAAGGGAGACCTTCTGCCAGTCTCTCCCTCTGCAGCCGCTGGAAGGTGGGATCGACAATGAAGACTACAGAGGCCAGTGCTGGACTAACTCTTCCCGGTCAGGGTTTCCATCCCACTGACAATCTGATTAAAAATACTCTCTCCCTTAAGGATAATTAGGAAAAATGTTTAAATGTACAATTATTTGCATGCAGTTTCAGGAATCTCAAGGGGTCCACAGGACAACTGGGAGACCCTCCCTGCAGGAACTAGAACCCCCAACCACCTTTGTATTCTCGTTGCCTGTACTCAACCCAAGTCTGTTGAACAGATGGAGAATTTAAGACTACTCGAGCCACCTTCAAGTAGAAAGTAAAAAATCAGAAGAACTTGCTTTCATTTTGAAGAACTCTGATAGCAAGCAATAGCCTGTACCAGAAATTATGTGAAAGTGTAAGTATAAAGAAGCAGAAAAAATTTAACAAAGAGAACAGGTAGAGGTCAAAGGATGAAGAATTTACGAGGGTCCATACCTGGGGGATTTGTCCTCTTGGGTATGTTCTGAGGTTCTTCAGTTGGTCCAAAAATATTAGATGCCATCCTATTAGGCCTGCTGGAAGGAGCAGCTTCTTCTGGACTTCCAAAAAGATTGCTTGATTCTCCTCCTGGGGACTTCATGGCCCTACAAGCACAGAGCACACACCAGTTACCGATGGCTGACCTGGAAGCTTGTCACGGCAGGGGTTATGGCATAACTGGACAGGGTAAGCGCAATTTCTTAATGGAGAAATCCCCCACCACAATTATTTAATACTGGTATGACTAGTTCACAGATGGCCACATGACAAACTTCTTTTACAGCTCTTAAGGTCCTCTTAAAAGTTTTCTTCACATATCTTGGTTATGTCAAAAATTCTCTAAAAATCTGCTAGGCACAGGGGCTCGAGCCTGTAATCCCAGCACTTTGGGAGGCCAAGGCGAGAGGATTGCCTGAGCTGATGGGTTTAAAACCAGCCTGGGCAACTAGGTGAGCCCTCATTTCTACAATAAAAATCAAAAAATTAGCTGGGCATGGTAGTGCACACCTGTAGTTCCAGCTACTTGGAAGGCTGAGGTAAAAGGAGTGCCTGAGCCCAGCAGGCTAACACTGGAGTAGCTGTGAGCATGCCACTGCACTCCAGCATGGGCGACAGAGTGAGACTCCAACTCAGATAAATATAAATAAATAAAATTCTCTAGAAACCCATATATTTTAAGTTATTTCTATGACCTCTCATAAGTAAAATTAAAAGTTCCCTAAGACAGGCAAATTGAGCAACATTCAGTAGAGTCTAAGACTAATTTTAATTAGTATTCAGTGGTGTTTAATACTATAAACACATTCAGTAGTGTTTAAAGCTGTAGCTTAGATTTGTTAAGTGCTCACTGTATGCCAGATACTATTCTAAGCAAATTACATTCACTTAATCTCCCAATAGCCCTACAGGCAGGGAATCATTTTTAGATGATGAATCTGAGATTAAGAAAAATCAGGTAATTTGCCAAAAGCCACGCAGGAAGTAGTAGAGTCAAGACTGAAATCCAGGCAGTCTGGATCTAGAGTCTGGATCATGTCCTACTGCTGCCACCTCTCTTAAAGATCTCAAGAAAAAGAGGGCATCTACCATTTATCCTAAGGACAAGATTGACTCCCAGTATGGGGCCCCTGGCCACCAAGCATGTGGACATGGCTGGTGTGAACTGAGGTGTGCCGTACGTATAACTTCACACCGGGTCTCAAGGCTCAGCATGAGGAAAAGAAGGAAAACATCTCTTAGTGTTTTTCCCCCCAAGTTTCTACACATAGCATTGAAATTGTGCCTTTTTTACTGATCACACTGGAACAGTATTTTGTACATTTTAGGTTGACCATCTATAAAAGTTAATTTCTGACTCATATGACTTCTAAAATATTTTAAGTTCCACCAGTGGTCCACATTTCTGCTGTATGGTGCTGGCCTAGACCAAGTGCTTCTTGCCAAGCTATTCAACGAAGTAAGTCCTGGGAAACAACACTAGGATAATCATCTAGTCCTGAAGCCTGGAAAAACCAGTGAAATGCTGAGTATCAGGAAGATAAAGGAACACAACTACTAGCGGCACTGTTCACTTGAGATCGATGCCTGTGGCACCTCGAAAATACACCCGTGTTCTACCGTTACTGGTTAAACAACCACAAGGATCATAGTGTTCTCGCTGCTCAGACACAAGCAGCAATAGACTCCCATGCTGGGCTTTGGGAAACTGTTTTGAACTACTGTAAGTTTTAAAGTAGACATTTCAGAAGTAGATCAGGACCTTGAGTGACTTTCTACTGCAAAAACTTAAGAATAAGAAATTGCCACAAAGTTCTACCCTCAGAACACAGCCTACAAGTAGCACAGCAGTGAAACACTGAAGTCAGAACACCTGGAAGGACTTTCAAATGCACTTAAGAGAGGCCTACTGAAACCAAGTTTTAAACCAGTAAGTGGCTGTGCTCTTTCACTAGTCCTAAGCAACAGACATTTAGAAATACAGTTGGCACCAGGCTCGGTGGCTCAGCCTGTAATCCCGCGCCTTTGAGAGGCTGAGGTGAGTGGACTGCCTGAGCCCCTGGGTTTGAGACCCGCCTGGGCAGGCGAGACCTCATCTCTACAATAAATCAAAACATTAGCCGGGCGTGGTAGCGCGCGCCTGTAATTCCGGCTACTCGGAAGGCTGAGGCGGAAGGATCGCCAGAGCCCAGCAGGTCGATGCTGCGGTGGCCGGGAGTGGCCACTGCACTCCAGTCTGGGCGACAGAGTGAGACTCCAACTCAAAAAAAAAGAAATACAGTTGGCTCTCTGCATTCATGGATTCAACCAATCTTAGATTGAAAATAGGGGGGGAAAAGGATGGTTAGAGCTGTACTGTACATGCCTTTTTAAGCAATACAGCCTGACAACTATTTACATCATATTAGGTATTGTAAGAAGTCTAGAGATGACTTAAAGTGTACGGAAGAATGTGTGTAGGTTATATGGAAATACTACGCCATTTTATAGCAGGGTCTTGCACATCCTCAGATTTTGGTATCTGAGGGAGGTCCTGGAACCAAGGGACACCAGGACACCAAGGGACAACCGCACTTAAAATTACAGGGCTCTACACCACATAAAAGCTACGATTTGTGGTTAGGCCTCACTGGCAAGCTATGACTGCTCACAGTTAACAAAATAACAGGATATCTAAAATGTTTGTTTTCTCAAAAGAGCTAGAAAGAGAGCTAACATCGCTTGTGACTGGACTAGAGTTCTCAGATCTCTTTCAAAGAGTGAAGAACTCAGTTGCTTTACAAAGGGCAGATAACATGCAGTCTCAGTCTGCACAGAAACCCATGGGCACACCATGCAACACCACAGAAGCCATGTGTGTGCCGGCAGGTCTCTGAAGTGGTACCGAGATTTCTTATCTACTTGGAAGCCTGGGAAGGACACATGCCAAACCTGCCTGTCAGCATTTCCTGAAGGAGGATTTGAGGAGGGAAAGAAAAAAAAAAGGCAGGCCATTTCCATTTGCGATTTTTTTTTTTCTGAGTTGGAGTCTTACTCTGTCCCCCAGGCTGTAGGGCAATGGCACGCCCACAGCCATACCAGCATCCACCTGCTGGGCTACTGCGATCCTTCCTAGTAGCTGGAACCTCAAGCATGCGCTACCACGCCCGGCTAATTTTTTGATTTATTGTATAGATGAGGCCTCACCAAGTGGCTCAGGCTGTTCTCAAGCCCACGGGCTCAAGCAATCTGCTCACCTCGGCCTCCCAAAGTGCTGGGATTACAGGCTTGAGCCACAGCACCTGGCAGGATTTTTTGGGTTTTTTTTGAGTGACAAGGTCTCGCTCTGTGGCCTAGGCTGGAGTGCAGTGGCGTGATCATAGCTCACTGGAACCTCAACTCCTGGGCTCAGGCAATCCTACTGCCTCAGCCTACTTAGAAGCCAGGAAGGTGTGTACCATTATACCCAGCTAATTTTTAGAGCTGTTTTAGAGACAGGGTCTTGCTGTGTTGCCCAGGTTTGAATCAAACTCCTGGCTTCAAGCAGTCCTCTTGCCTCTGGGATTATAGATGTGAGCCACCATGCCCAGTCCTGGAGGGGTATATATGTATATAAAATAACCAATGACCAGGCTGAGCACAGTAGCTGTAATCCCAGGATTTAGGGAGGTCAAGGCAAGAGGATTACTTGAGCCAAGGAGCTCAAGACTAGCTTAAAAAACATATCAAGACCTCATCTCTACAAAAATAAAAATAAAAAAACCTATCCGGGTGTGGTGGTACACACCTGTAATCCCAGCTACTCAGGAGGCTTGAAGCGGGAAGATTGCTTAAACTGCAGAGGTCAAAGCTGCAGTGAGCTGTGACAATGCCACTGCACTCCAGCCTGGGTGAGATTCCAATCAAAACAAAAAACAGGCCAGGCGCGGTTGCTCACGCCTATAATCCCAGCACTTTGGGAAGCTGAGGTAAGAGGACTGCCTGAGCCCATGGGTTCGAGACCAGCCTGGGCAATTTGGCGAGACTTCATCTCTACAGTAAATAAAAAAATTAGCGTAGTGGCGCATGCCTGTAGTTACAGCTACTTGGAAGGCTGAGGTGGAAGGATCACCTGAGCCCAGCAGGTCAAGGCTGCGGTGGCTTTAAGCATGCTACTGCACTCTAGCCTCAGCAACAGAGTGAGACTTCAACTTAAAAGAAACACACACACACACACAAAATCCCAAAAAACAGCCAGGGCATGATAGCTCATGCACATAATCCTGGCATTTTAGGAGGCGAGAGGATGGCCTGAACCAAGGGGTTCAAGACCAGCCGGGGTAAGTTGGTGAAACCTTGTCTCTACAATAAATAAATAAAAAATTAGTCAGGTATGGTGGCGCACACCTGTAGTTCCAGCTATTTGGAAGGCTTAGGTGGAAGGATAGCCTGAGCTCAACAGGCTACGGTGGTCCAAGAATGTGTCACTGTATATCAAGCCTCATGCCAGCATGAGTCGAACTCCTCTTTTCTGGGTAGACTCTGATTCCAGCTCTCCAGGGCTCTTTCCGACCCCTGCTTCCTACATTTGCAGTCTCAAAGACTCCTGCTGCAGTGCAACTCATACATTTCCCGAGCCCTCTCATGGGCACCCTGCAGCAGCAGACCCCGTAGCTAGAAAGGTGAGTAAGCAAAAGCCCTCGCTCGGGAGGAGCTTCAAGTTACTGGGGAAAGCTAGACCAGGTGGTTTCCGCGTTCTGGGTGAGTGACAGAACAGATACTGAGTGTTCCCGGGACACCGAAGTTTATAAAAGGTGTGGCCCAGACTGAATCCATGGTCTCCATGTGGAAAGGGTACCATCAGGCACAGGAGATAAACAGAGTTATTTGAAATATTAATCTAGGGTGGTAGAAATATAGAATTTAATACTGTTCTGCATATGTTTCTTAATTTTATTTTAAAACAAAGAAAAAAAGTGGTGCCACAGACTGTTTCAGCAGAAAATGACGCATAAAGGCCCAGCCACCTGGGAAGAGGCAGAGGCCAGGTCTCCATCACAAAGGCAACAGTCCACACTGCAGGTTGTGCAGCCTGAAGCAGTCAGACAGCAAGGCTGCCTCAAAAAGGCCTCAGACACTTGGGGCCGAGCGTTCAATGGACCTTTCAATAAAAACAGTCGATAACAATGGCGCACTGTGGCCTTCTCCAGGCCACAGGCAGTTACCTCTGTGACCCTATGGGGGAGGGGAATGCAAGGGCTCAGACATTTGGGGCCAAATTCACAATGTGGGGGCGCTTCACAGATATTTTTCCTTTTGTAGTATCCCTCACTATATTTCAGCAAAGACATTCAAAGTACACAAGAGAAACCCAGGGTCACAGGCAAGAAGAACAGCCCCCAACAATGCAGCACTGGAGAGGCAGGGAAAACACGCACTCCTCCTAGGGGCTCTGGACCCTCCTCAAACAGCTTGTCCCGAGTTTCAGAAACGATCTGAGGACTGGCCCAGTTTGGAAAGCAGCGAGAAAGACACTCGGTTTAAATTCTTTACAAATATAAATGTTACGGCTTAAAGGAAGACCTCAGGTTAATGACAGCTAAGGCATAATGCTTTTACAGCTCAAAATCCCCTTAACACAAGACAATCCCTCCACAAGAAAACAAAAGATGCAGAGCCTGAAGAGAGGAGAAGCTGGCTAGGGAATCTCAAAGCCACAGGTGGATTCTCTCCACGGCAAAACAAGCGGCGGGCTCTCCAGTCCCGCTCAGAATGCCGACAAACACACAGCCTCGAACATACCGGAGCACAAGCTTCCGCTGATATGAATCATCCTGTCAAGGCTGGTTTTCCTTCTTCACCATCCTAAAAGGAAGATTTTCTTTTTCCTTTTCACAATATCCTTCAAAAAACGAATCCTCCAAAGACTTGTGGAACTTTAGAGCAATACTACTCTGCAAGCTATTTCTGGAGCTCCGAAGGCCGGCAGAACAACCATTTACCGGGCTGCCAGTACCAGGCAGCGAACAGCAACAGGGACAGCCCTTCAGGGATGCCACCGAGATGCGCTGGGGACGCCGTGCCCAGCGGGAGTGGGTGGTGCCCCTGAAATGGATTCATTCACTCCGGTGAGGCCCAGTCGGTGTTCTCCACGTGGAAAGGGAGTCATGGGCACGGGAGGTATCTTACAGCGCTCCAGGATACACTTCTGATCCCACATCGGTACAGATCTGGACGCCAGGGACCAAGATTCTCTGTTCCATTGATTCACGACTCGTTAGTCGTTTGGCTACGAGTATTCCTGCTTCCGGACTTAACTCCCCCATTTAAAGGGCCCGTTTCTTTAGTATTTATTCTATGTAGCCCTTGTCTCAAAGGTCATCACACGCACGAATTCGCGTCCCCCTCCATGGCGGGGAGGGACCGTCCACGAGGCTCAAAACACAGAGAAGCCTCGCGCAGTGCAAGACCCGAGTCGAGGGCGCAAGCTGCCTGCCGGAGCGGGAAAGCCCCCGTGGGCGCCGCCAGCCCTAGCTGACGGACTCCCAATGGCCACAGGGCGCTTTAGTAGCTACAAAGAGCGGGCAGTGAGCGCCGGGAGCCAAGCCGAGTCGGGAGCTGCGCGTCAGCCTGGTCCCTCCTACGGCTACTGTGCGGACCCCACGCTCCTCTTCTTCCCCAGACACCCTGGGGCTCCCTAGAGGAACGTGGCCAGGGTCGCAGCGCACACGCGCGCAAGCACAAGCCCAACCCCGGCACACACTGTCGACCCGCGTTCACCCGCGGCATTGTTCCCTAGACCGCGGGCGGCCCTCCTCGCCCTCGCCTCGCGACACAGAGTCGAGGCACAGCTCTTTAGAGACAGGACATCGGCGAACCGGTCGTCGGGCTCCGGGTGACTCCGTACGGGACGCGGCACAGCCAGGGCAGGGGCGGGGCACGGCCCGGCGGGCCTTGGCCAGGTCGCCCAGCCCACCCGGCGCCACGCAGCTCGCGGACGCACCCAGCCCGGGTCCGCCGCCCCCGCCCCCTGGCGGCACCCTCTGCCCGGACTGCCCGCCTCGCGCCCACTGCTCGGCCCCCGCATCCCGCCAGCGCCGCACCTGGAGCCGATGCGGTCGCCCTCGCTCTCCGGGTTCCGGAACATGTCGCCCAGCGCCTCCCTCAGCCCGCTGCGCAGGCGCTCCGGCCCGCCCAGGCGCAGGTACCCCGAGGCCGCCCGCTACGCTCATTGGACGTCGCGACGCCAATCACGCCTCGGCAACCTACTGCGACGTGGGCTCCGCCCCTCGCACCGCCCCAATGAGGGGGGTCAGGAAAAGCCGGCGCCGCGCCCGCAGTCGATTGGTGGAAGGGACGTCGATCAGGGCTTCCGGTGCTGCTATTGGACAAGTGATTGGGCGGGCTGAGGGGACAGACCGTGGAGCCAAGAGCCCAGGAGAGGAAGCGAGGACTGGCGGAGCGCTGGCGCCAGACCCACAGGCTACAAAGGCCGAACTTGAGCACTGGCTCTCCCGCAGGCCCCTACAGGGCACCATGGCCCCGGCAGGTACAAACGACAATCATTAGATCAAGTATTAGTATGTATTTATACACAGTAAAAACATTTACAAGTTGAACTGGAAATTTAAACAGAAGTTTAACAGCTTGTTTATTATATTAAATAACCAAAACACCTTTTATTCCCAAAATTGGTAAAGAATAAATAATATAATTTACAATATGGTACAAAAAATAATCAGGAAAGACAAGCATTCTGCTTTATACATACACTGTATATGTATATTTATAATCTATAAAACAAATTCACATCTGAAACAAGCCAAAAACCTTTGATGATATGGCTTAACGATTATTAAAGGAAACAGCAGTAAGTGCTGCTGCCCAGACCATAGCTCACAGCCAGCTGTCCTGCTAGAGAACAAAGGGCACAGGTTGCTGTAGTGCTTCCAAGACTCAACTTACTTCACGTGCCTTACAAGTTACTGTGAAATTAGGAGAGCTCTGACAGCTGGGAAAGGTTTGCTGTGGGATTTTTTTTTTTCTTTTAATCTTTCCTTTTTTTCCTTAAGACAAAGTGCTGTAGTTCCTCACAAATGCACCTGTTAAGATCTAAATGCTTAAAGAGAAAGCGCAACTGTTTTCCTCCTTTGTTCCCAGTGTCTTGTACTCCACAACTTTCTTTGCAGAACGAGTTTGGATTCAATAATGTGATCTAGTTAAAGAGGCTATTAAACGGAAAAGGACATCCTCTAGAAATGAGGCCACAGTACAGCATGGCGAAGAATGGGATTCTGATTCTCAGAAAATGGAGGCATGGAAAAGCAAGTAGACCGACTGATGAAATGCCCCCAAAGATCCTCACTCCCTGAGCAAGTATTCTACACCTACAAGATCCAGGAATATGAAAAAATCATGAAATCATGGATGTCATCTTGCCTCTGCATCTTCTAAAGGATGTCATGCTCAGCACTGTGTATTCACAATAAAGAATCAAGGCCAAAACGCCGGCTTCCTTGACACCAGAGATGTTTAGTTTCAATCTTTAGAGAACATAAATCAGCAGAAAGATCGTAAGACAACATTAGAGGGATTAGGGAAAGATTTTTCTAAAAAACTGATCTCATCTTAATCACAACATGCTCAAATGCACAACAGAAGCCACAGGTTAATACTGAGACCATCATGACTTCCATTGGAAAGGCAGAGGAAGATGCACGAAGTAGGTGGCTTCTCTGCTTGGATCTCTTGAAAATTTCATCCTGTAACAGTTGCCTGTGTTTGTACATTAAATAGTCAATTAGGCTGGAAGAAAATGCATCTATCGTTTTTCTGTTACAAATGACACCATTTCCCCTTAATATAGCAGGCAAATGCATAACCTGTCTGGTTGTTAGAGAAGCAGAATTCTCTGGAATCCTGTCAGCTTTATTATCGAAGGAACGAGTCAGTCCACTCTCCCCTCTTACCTACCTACCCACTGGATGATGATGGCTGCAGTCAGCTGGTCCCCGAGTTTATGCCAGAGAACCAAGTAGGACATGCTGCTAAATAAAGAGCCTACAAAGACAGACCTTAACCTCCAAGGTTTTCCTCCAGTTATGTCACTGGGAAGAAGGTACCCCCAACAGATAAGCAGCGCACCACCCCTGACATCCCTGGTACAGTACCTATGGTCACTGGACACTGCTCCCAGCTCAGTCTGTGCTGTTACTTAGCATCTCTTGCCCTGGACTGTTGGGAGTATGAGAAATCTAGGAGGGGTCTAAACTCAGCCTGGTGTCTTAACTTACTGTAAACCTAGCAAAGTCAGAGGGAGACCCACTGATCTTCTTGAGCTCAATAAGATGCTAATTTCAAGAAGGCGATATATTAAGCACAAAACACAAGCTAGTTTACAGATACTCTAGCTCCAATACTGCTGTCTATGGCTCTTAATAAAGTGGCACCATGTTTCTTTTTACAACCTCCAGAGCTTTGGAACTGTTTTCTTAAGACCTTGTGTTAAGGTCTGAGGGAGGGAAGACACCTTAGAGACAGGAGCTCTAAGAGACAGGAGCTCTTAGAGACAGAAGGAAGAAGCTCATGCCTGGGATCCCTTGGTCCTCTCCAGATCCTCCCACTGGCTTGGAGTGTGCGGCCCCACCTGCGGTCTGCTGCTGGTGGGACTGAGGGTATCCGCCTGTTCAGCCACACCTAAGGCCTTTGCTCCCCCTTTTCACCAGCTTCCTTTTGCATGTGGACAGGAAAAGAAGGGTGGAGAGAGGGCCGGGGCTGGCCTTGAGAGCTGCCACATGCATAGAGGAAGGGGAAAGGTGGCAAGCAGAGGGGGTAGATTCATGTGTGTTAGAAAGGCCCAATCAGTCCCAAGTGCTTTCTCCAGCTAGGTGGGTGTGACGTAAGGGGTGAGATGGTGGCACAGGCATGACCTGCCCCCCACCACTGCAATGGCTCCAGCCACACTGGCTGGACGGTGGTCTGTGTGCTTGGATCTCCTGAGGCTGGGAAGGCAAGTGAGCCCTTGTTACTGCCATCCTGGGAAAAGACTGGACTTTGGACCATCTGCAGTAGTTAACACTGGCCACCAGACGGGGCTCCAGGAGGAAGGCCACCAAAAAGACGTGGATTTGGTGAGCTCTGACCACATCTAGATAGCTGAACCTTCATCCGGGTGTCCTGAACGGCAAGAACAACAACAGTAGGCCTCGGGGCAAAGGTATGCATGAGGGATTAAATATATACACATCAGGCATACCCTGCACCAATGCTTTCCAGGATCAGGCGAGATCAGGTGCATTTGGGGTGGTATTGCCACAGACTGCACCAATGCCAATGAAAGAAAGAGAAGGCTCTGAAGGAAAGAAAACTTTCCTTGCAAAGGCAGATTTGGCTCAGATGCCAAACAGTAACATACCAAAAGTTTAAGAACTTATCAGGAAAGTCTTATCTGGAGTCATATTAGTGCTTACAGGTCACCCCAATAGAGAGATTTAATACTTCAGATCACCTACAAGAAACTTACAGATGGACATAGGAAGGAAACCGACTAAACGGGATTCTGTTCTTCCTCTTACAAGAAACACTTTCAACCAGCTTAGCAGGCTCTTATATAAAGTCCACACAACCTGCATAAGACTGTTAACTCAGAACAAAACCTCAAGATGGGGGAAGCACTAGGCAAGGGTATTTCTGGGGTGGTGGCACCAGTTGCACTGCCCCGGGCCTGCTGCTACCCTGTGATCAGAGCATCTTTTAAAGCATTTACTGTCTCAGGGTGCAGACACCACCAGGTAGGAGCCCAGGCCACACCTGGCCATCCTGCCCATCATCACTCCACAGAGATAGCAACCAAAGTGTGGCATAGGTTTGGCAGAAAGAAAGCAGCAGTGATCTGGGGCCTCCCTGCAGAGAAAGGGAGGTTAAAACTCCCAGCATGCAGCCACTAAGCCAAGGCACACACACTCCCTTCTCTAAGAAAACCCACTGGAATGTCCAACACCACAATCAAGGCAGAGCACAGGCTGAAATGGGATCACCACGCAGATCCTGACACGGGCCCCAGGGCTGGCAAGAAACTGCTCCAGGACCACAGCCTTTCTGATGTCAGCCCTTCCCAAGTTCTCATCCTCATCTGCTGGGACAGGCTCTGTGACCAGCCGTCCCCACATGTTGCACACTGAGATGCAGAGATGCCTTTATTCAGACCATCTTCTGGGGATCCTGGCTTGATGTTTTCTCCAGTTGGAAGAGAGCTTCATCTATGACAAATGAGGACTGCCAGCCCCATAAGCCCTCTCTGCAGCCTTCAGGATGCCCTGCCATGAGATGTAGTCACTGGGACATGTCGCTGAGGGGGGGGCCACCTCCACCACCATCAAACAGAACCTCTCGGCGGCCAGGCTCAGCAATGGCCAGCTCTTGCGCCAGGTCATTGAACCGGGATATGTAATCGATGCTGTTCTCATTCATCATGCACACCAGCTGGGAATCCACAACCTGCAGGACAGAGGAGACAAGGAAGGCTGAGTCACTGGTGGCTGGCTCGCCCCTCAGTGGGAGGTGGCTTTCTCAGAGAAGACAAAAATCATGACTCCACCAGCAGAAATCGAACCATGGATGGGGCCCAGTGCTCTGGGCAGAATTTCAGATCACCTGTTGTCTGCACATGCACTCTTTGGACAAGTGCTCACGGAGAGCCTACTGTGGGCCTGGCACACCTGACAGCTGGGATGGGATGGTGGCTTCCTCCTTCAGGAGACTTATGGGGGCAGGCAGACAGAGATAAATGGTATAGTGGAATGCAAAGGGTCAGGAGCAGCCTGAGGGAATGGAAGCAGTGTGAAGGAGAGTGGCTGGGTGTAGGGGTGTAGAGGTCAGAGAAGGGTGCTCCAAAGACTGGGACGTGAGCAGCAGGGGGTAAGTGATGAGGGCACATGGGGAGCACCTTCCCAATGTAAGTCATAAGGACGCGTGGTGGGGGAGCATGTTCCTTTCAGGAGAAACTACAAGCATAAAGACCCTGAGACAGGAACAGGCTTCACCATTCAAGAGGCACAAGAAAGGTGGTAGCCATGACACTATATGACACAGAGTAAAGACGAGATGTGAATGGTGGGCCTCAGCACCAAGATTTTATCCTGTGTGCACATATATGGAAGGTGCCATCTTCACTACTTATTGTCTTCCCCCATGCAAGAGTGGAGGCCTCATGAGGATAGGGGCCTTTGTTTGCACATAGTAAGCCCTGAATAAATATTCATTAATGAACTGCATGACATTACGAATGAAAGAAGTCTTTGGGAAATGCTGGGTAGAGCTATGGCATGCACTGAATTTTAAACCCTTTATTATGGGAAATGTCAAACAAATTAAAATTTATTTTCAAAGAGTAGATCAAATACTGACTGCCCTCCCTCAATATGTCATGACCAGCTTCCAGCTACATCACCCTGGGCCACCCAGCTCCACCTCTCCCCACAAATCATGCACCCTACCACCTTTACTCAGATCCCACCAACAGACCATTTTATCCACAGATGTTTCAGACTGTACTTCTAGGCCATGAGGACTATCTTACAAACACAACTGTGTTTCAAGTAAAGAGTCCTCAGTGAAATTCCTTTTCTCTACACTGACTTGCCCCCTCTGCAGGTGAATATGCATTTAAGTTACTCAATGTGGACACAGCATTTCACACATATCAACTATGTTTTTGTTCTGTGCTGCTCACTTTCACGTGTAATGTGTCACCCTGGGATCTTGTTAATGATGCAAATTCTGATTCAAGGGGTCTGGGGGTGGGCCCAAGATTCTGCATTTCTAACTCCTAGGGTTTCTGCAGCTGGTTTATGGGTCATTTTCTGAACAGTTGAGATTTGGTATGTTGTCTCAGGACATGTGTGCAGTGCCCATCTCCATAGGAGCCAGGTACTTATAAGTGTCCAAACATAGGAAGGCTTTCCTGTGGAACATTAGTGCCAGGCATGCTCTCAATAAAGATTCTGTGTTCATATATGGGTTTGAGAAATGCTATACACTGTGGGCTGTAGATTCACTATATTATTGTGTCTACATTTATATTTGCTTGATATTTCCAATCATCATGACTTGGCTCATACTTCTCCAAAGTCTTCCGATAAGTTCCTCATCTCAAGATTCATGATTCACGTTAGGATACTGAGAAGCTCAAGAGTCTGGGAAATCGCTGTTTTGAGCTTTTTCTGATCCAAGGTTTCCATCCAGTATCTGCTTACAAAATCCCCGAGGAATACCTGCTATTTCCTTACCGATGTCTTGACATCCCAGGAACCAGATTTGGGACATGCTGCTCCAGCACTTTAACAATAAGACAACCCATCCAAGTGGCATTCAGGATCTGGAATTCTCTCCCTTTAAATAACTGATTCTCTCCCTGTGTCCAGTTCTCTCATGGCAACTGTGGCTTTGTACCTCGCATCACAATTACATGTGCTTATCTTCATTCCTCCAGCAGGCATTCCACTCTGCAAGCCTGACCTGTCACAGATCGTTCAAGCCATGTGGATGCCTGGGTGGCTGAGTATATAGCCTGGTCAAAGAAAAGAGGGATACTGGGCCGGGCATGGTGGCTCGTGCCTATAATTCTAGCACTTTGGGAGCCTGAGGTGAGAGGGTTGCTAGCCCAGGAGTTCGAGTCTAACCTAGGCGACACAGTGAGACCTCTTCTCCCTCCAAAATAAAAAACCTAGCTAGGCATAGTGGCACATGCTTGTAGTCCCAGTTACGCAGGAGGCTGAGGCATAAAGATCACCTGAGCCTTCAGAGACCCTGCTCTGTACTCCACACCAGGACTTTACAGTTTGGACACCTTTAGTGCTCAGTTGTTCCAGAGTCGGTGATTGTACCACATGGGGACAAAAGTTGGCCCAGCATCCTCAGACCTCTCCATTTCCAGTGATCAGAGACATGGTTGTGTATGTGCCACCTCCTGGCAAGCAGTTCTCACAGACTCAGAGGTGTGCAGGAGAGGCTGGCAGCCTCCAGCATACAGGTTTGGCATTCAAATCCAGGTGTGAGATAAGTGCACTTACCTCTGTGACATCAGCCAGGGACCTGGACACAAATGAGTCCCGTGAGTTTCCATCCAACAAGCTAGGCCCCAGCAAGGAGGTGCCACTGTTGGTCCCAATGGGAGTAGGTAGCATCTTCCGGCTCTTCTCTGGGGAGATGAAGCTTGCTGTGGAGAGAAGACCAGAAGAAAACACCCTGAGGCCTGGATTGGGTTGGACCAGTCCGGTGGAAGGGTCCTGAAGCTTGGGGTTGCCTAGCTGGGCCCCAGTCCAGGCGCCAAGCCACAGACTTGTATGACGAGCTTGTATGCTGTAACAGGCTGTCCTATAACGAGCCTTGCATCTCATTGTCCAGGAACTACCCAGGGTCCCACTCTCTCGTCATCATCCCCCATGCCTGTATTTTATTCTGTGTGACTAGTCTTTACTGACAGGCATTCAGGTTGTTTCCAGCTTTCCATGATGACTACTGACTTTGCACAAGTTTGCACTGTCTTATGTGACAATAAGAAATACTTAGAGAGTGCTGGCTCCCCCAGCACCACCCAGAGGGCTCCCCATTGTTGTGGGCCATCAGGTGCGGCACCTGAGTTCACCATGGGTATCACACATCCTTCTCTGCGGCTGCCTGTCACGATGACCAGCCACATGCCCTGGCCAGTCTAAAACCTCTGGGGGATGGATCCCAGATACACTAACAGGAGCTCTTCTCATGCAGGAAACAGCAGCCATACTGGTAGTGTTAGTGTGTCTTTCCCTAACATAACTCTTCCTGCCATACTCGCACCTGGTACCCAAGAGCAAACAGGTGGTGGTGAAGAAGAGGAGCATGCCCTCTGAACTCTCCAATCTATGGTCAAGAGTGTGCTATTAGACAGCTGGACTAACCATCAGAATAGTCTACTGGTTATAGAAAGAGAAGAGCCAAGAGAGCTCAGAGACGGTCAATTTCTTTTTCCCGCCCTCGGCAGAGAGTCCTGCAGAAGCCCAGGGGGAAGGCCTGGGCTAGCTGCGCAGACCAGGGGGCACAGAGAACCATCATCTGGGGTGTTGGGGATGTTCAATGTCGCCATAAGTTGGGGGTTATGCACCTGCCAAAGCTTAGTGAACTGTACGCTGAAATCTGTGCATTTTCCCATATATAAGTTATGCCTGAAAAAATTAACTCAGAAAAAACAGAAACAAATAAGCCAGTAGTCCTGGCACAATGAGAATTCAGTGCCGTGTAGATTCCCACCCCCTGCCGGTCTGGGAAGGAGACAAGAGCCCCTCCCCACACTCACCAAACAGGCTGCTGAGCGAGGAGTCTGTGGAGTCACTGGGGTACCACTGGGGGTCGTGGGTGGGAGAGGCGATCCAGTTTGGCTGGGGACTGCTGGATGGGGAGGGAAGACTCTTGGAACTGTCACTACCATTCAGTTTTGCTGGAGAAAGAGGGACCCCTTCACCTGCCAACAAAGATCTTGGGTCAGAGACAACACATGAGGGTGAATGGCACTCCGTTTCTCCAACCCGTCACCGAGAAGATGTGTGGCCCCACATTGCTGAAGCAGGATGGACAGCGTTGCTCTGCAGAGAAGGAGCACACAACCTGCAGGACAGCTCTGTGTGCCAGAGGACAGACACAGCACGGAGTGACAGCAATGGCAGCAGTAACCATGGGCAGAGCAGGCCCCGTACTCCCTGTGAATCATCTTACTGGGATTTACACCAGCCCCATGAGGGGCACATCTCTCCTGATTCATCACTGAGGAAAGGGAGGCTCAAACAAGTCAGTCATCTGCCAAGGCCACATGCTAAAGAGGTCATGAACTCACATCTGTCTGAACCCATAGCAAGCAACAACCACACCAGTGCTCACAAGAGAACTGTCCTGGAGAGCTCATCCTGGCTTTGGCCTCACAGGGACTGTCCAACCACACCCTCAACTCTGTAGAACCCATAGGCTGACTGCCCAGATGACTAGGAAAATGACTAGTAAAATGCCCTTACTGATCCCCGGGCTGGAGAGAGTCTCATGGGCCATCACGCTCTCTTGTCTCAAGGTCAGATGCAATCCGACCAGACCACCAGGAGCCTCAGGTCTCAGACATACCTTCTCCATCTGCACTGCCCTGTCGAACCCAGGCAGCACCTTTTAGGTGGTAGGTATTCGATTCTCAAAAATGACAGTGAACTGGAATATTCCCAGCAAGAGAGGCAAACACTCAGACAGGATGTCAAGACCTGACTCCAGAAAGGGGGTGTGCAGCCACCCTGCCCTTACCATACTGGCCGGAGCTGATGGCAATCTCAATGATGGAGTCGCTGATGTGTGTGGTGGGCTCCCCCTGGGAGAGTGCATCCTCGGGTGGGCCGGGCAGGGAGATGTCCAGCAGAGCAGAGACGTCTGGCGGAGAAAGCCGGGTGCTGGAGCCCTCTGATGAGGACAGTGATGTGGAGAGGCCATTCTGAAGAGGAGTCTTGGGCAGCTCAGACAAGGAGAGAACAGAAGAGCCCTGCTGGGAGACAGTTACTGTTCAGACACAACCGGTCAGTTAGAATCTGTGACAAGGAATGAAAACTCAACCTCAGCCTCACAGCTTAGTGAGTGAGTGACAAGCAGATCAGCAACGGTGATGAGCTTAGTCACCTCACCCCTCCAAGTTAGGAACACGCTTGGAGAGTTCACTTCTCCTGAAACCACCTGAGATGGCAAAGTCAGAAGCTCAGCATGGACCTGCTTCAACTGCTGCCAGCAGGACAGAATGGGAGCCAGGGGAGCTATCAGCTGACAGCCTCCTTCTCCTGAAGATGGAGTCCTTCCAGAACTGGGTCTGAGTGAGCCAGCCATGCAGAGGGGAGAAAGTCAGGGGTGGGAGACAGCCAAATTCATTCTGCCAAGGCCACATGCTAAACAGGTCATGAACTCACATCTGTCTGAACCCACAAGCAACAACCACATCAGTGCTCACAAGAGCACCGTCCTGGAGAGCTCATACTGGCTCTGGCCTCACAGGGACCGTCCAACCACACCCTCAACTCTGCAGAACCCATAGGCTGACTGCCCAGATTCATTACTGACTAGGAAAATGCCCTTTCTGATCCCCAGGCTGGAGAGAGTCTTGTGGGCCATCACGCTCTCTTGTCTCAAGATCATATACAATCCGACCAGACCACCAGCAGCCTCAGGTCTCAGACATACCTTCTCCATCTGCACTGCCCTGTCGAACCCAGGCAGCATCTTGTAGGTAGCAGGTATTCGATTCTCAAAAATGACAGTGAACTGGACAGGACCACAGTCCAGGGAGAGAAGCGGGGCTGCCGGCAGGGCTGGAGGTAGGGGACTCGGCACTAGAGGGGTTCTGAGGCAGCCATTTGCTCAGCAGCCCAAAAGCATACTCTACCTGGAAACTGTCCGTCACTGGCTCCTGCTCAGGCCTCGAGGGGACGCTGACAAATGGGTCGCTCGTACCCTGTGAAACGGCAGACATGCCCATAAGGGCCACATGGTGCACTAGGTGCCACCCATGGCCCCCCACCCAGGACTGAGCTCCAGAGGAAAAAACTGTCCCATCTCCCCAGTCTCCTAACAGTAGAGGAACAGTAAATAGTCAGGGATCTAGGTGGAGAATGCCAAAAAGCCACTTGCAAAGTATAGGCCCTGCACTTACAACTTTTTGTTGATTCAAAGAGTAAACTCAAGTCCTACCAAGAAGCTGACCTTGTAGCAGGCAGGGATGGGCTCTCTGGAATCTTAACGGGGTCACCCACCCCAGCTTCCTTGGGGATGCTCTCAAGCAGCCATGAGGGGCCAGAGCAACTAGATCACTTGGAAAATGAGAAAGGAGTGACTGGTCATGGTCATTCAGACTGTTCTCCTCCAGGATGAGAGGAATGCTTGGTAATACCCGAGCTGAATGCCACGGTCTCACTGCTGGCTGATGTGAGCATGTAGTACACCTCCATACTTGTCTTAGCTCTGGATTCTCCAGTGTCATATGGCACGCCAGTCACCTGCCTTCCTTCAGTGGCTCCCCATGTCTCTCCCGCTCTGTGCTATACATTCACACCATGGCTCTCCCCAGTCCAACGGGTCCAATCTCTCAAAAGGCAGAATTGGGAGTCCAGAGTGATCTGAGACCCATGGCCTTGGCTCCCACCCCAGAAGCTGGTGGGAACGCTGAAATGCCCTTCTAAATACTCACCCCCACAGTGGGAATGGGGTCTCCATTTTGGTGGGTTCCAGTGGAGTCCTGACCTGAGACGGCAGCTGTCACCTCATCTGAGGATAGTGGAGAGATGCCAGACAAGCCCTCAGTGTCCAAGGCAGGAAGGGGGCTCCCGGGGATGATGCCGGCACTGGTAGCTGCTAAGTCGATAGCGCCTGGCAACAGAAAGGATGTTTCAAACCTCGGCTCTACTCACCCCCCATAATAGGTCCCAAGAGGGCTCAGGAACAGCTTCTCCCTCACAGCTCACGTCAGTGGAAAAGCCAAGGGCTTTGATGCTCTCATTGAAGGGCAATGAGACGACATGACTCAAAGAAGAAAACTTTCAAAGCCTGTGACAAAAACGTCACCCAAACCTCACACAGTGGCTGTCACCATGCAGGCTGCGGACTTACTGGCCAAGTGACTTGTGGCCTGGGGTGGAAGGACCTTGGGCACGATTGGCCGAGACAGAGCTGCTTTGGTCAGAGAAGACTGGATGGGCCGGAATGAACCTCTCCCTGTGAGGGCAAGGACAAAAGCAGACATGTCAACCCTGCCTGCTGTGCCCTCGCTGCACACTGGGGGTTTCCTTGATAGCCCTATCAGGATCCAGGAGCTGAGCCAAGGTGGAAGCCACTGAACATGCCAAGCACTTGCTACCTTGGGGGTCAGAGGTCCACAGGCCCCAACAGAGAGACAAGCTCTGGCTTATCTCCACAGTCACCACTGTGGCACCACTGTGTCTCCCAGGAGCTGCTGAAAGGTTGTGATCATCACTGTCGTCCCGCAGGAATGGCCCTTTAAGGGTGACGAGGCCCAAAGCTGAGCTACAGGTTCATCTGAGGCTGTCGGAGCATCCGATCTTGGACTAAGATTCTGCCACTGCAGTTGGTTTTGTCTTGCTAGGCTTCCCACGGTTGAAAAGCAGGCAGGAGAAAAAGCAAGCAACACCTGTATGGGTTCTGCAGTTAAGTCAATGTGAAAGTCAAGACTGGTAAAAATATATGAGGAGGATCCTAAAAAATCTGAAATTTGTTTTTAAAAAATTATGTATTTATTCTTACAAGTCACCTTCAAAATACTCTGATGAAATATACCTACTGAGATGCTTTTTTCCATGGCTCAAAAACAATTTTTGAACTTGTCAATTTTGACGCCTTGTAGTGCTTCTGCCATTTTTTGTTTCACCTCTTCCACATCAGCAAAATGTTTCCCTCTGAGGACTTTTTTCATTGGGGAAACAAAAGAAAGTCACTGGGGTGAGACTGGGTGGATAGAGAAGGTGGAGCATGGGAGTCGTGCTGCTTTTGGTCAAAAAGTGCTGAATGCTCAGCACGGTATGGGCAGGTGTGCTCATAAATCACCATCATGAAATGAACAAACATGTTAAAAGAATCTCCAAAAAAATCCACTGAAGCCAAACGCAGCCTCTTGCAACAAAGGGAGCTGGTACACTGATGTCAATGGGGTCCTAGAACACTTACCTAGCAGGGGAAGACTGAACGGCAAGGGGCCTGCCTTCCAAAGGATTATTCTGGGTTTTTTTGGGTCCCCCTTGAACATCATAGAGTATGTGTTTCATTAAAGGACTCTCACTGTATTAGTTACTTCAAAGAGCATGAGCCCCCACTGAATGTATAGACTTCTGGGAACATGATGCATAACCCACGGCCACATTCATCCTGCAGCACACCAGACAGGACATTACGGAGAGAGGGGGCAGCAGATCCACTAACTCAAACTGTGTGAAGCACTCAGCACAGGGCCATCTGAGGCTGCAGCCAAAGGAAGCTCCCTCCAGACCCCTACCACAGGGTGTGTGCCTTGCCTGTCATAGTAGCCTGCAGCCCAGCACAAAGGGCACACAAGGTATTTGGCGGAAGAATGAACAAAGGAATGCTTGAAATGTCACTCAGACACTCAGAGAGTCATGGAAATAGACACTTGCTATTCCCAAAGACAGGCCACACTCAGGTGAGGGGGAGGGCACAGCTACCCCAGAGAAGCCCAGGTGCTTACCAGTTATGGAAGAATTAGGCAGGATGGAGAAGGAACAAACGTTGTGGGGCAGACTCTCAGACGGTCTAGGAAGCAGTGTTCTCTGTGACAGAAAAATTGCAAACAATCAAGACAATGAAAAGACTCCCAGGCAAAAAAAAAAAATCACTCCGGAAACTGGGTTATAAAATAATATTCCATGGAAGATGGAGCTGGGCATAACTGGATAAGCCTTCTTGTTCTAGAGTTGATGACAACAGGATGCCTGAGACAGTCCGTGACAGTTATGACCTGTGTACCCCAAGCTCCAGAATATAGAGTCTTCCCTGAAATGAACCCAGGGCATCAAGCCACTCCCAGGGAAAACTGGAGGAATGTCAGAATGATCCACCTTTAGTTCAGAGTGTTCTAGATTTGGATAGAATGCAACTAGTTATATAAACCTGTTTATAACCACTGAATGTGGGCTTTTATGACACACCCCCCCCAATTCTGGGCTTCCTCACACATGGAGTAAAGAAAATAAAGTCACTGCTCGTGACACACAGGCACTAACAAACAGGTGCAAGATGTTCCTTGACAGGTTCCGGTGTTAACAGTTAAGCTTCAGTGTACTTGGGACCCCTTTTGAATGATGTCTACCATCTAGGAAGAAACTATATTCAGCAGTGAAACTGTCTATAATCAAAATAAAACATTAACAAAAGTGTCTACCAACCCAAAGATGTCATGAGGTACTTAAGCCCCTGGGCAAACATAGCTGCCATTCTCTGCTGATGTCAAAAGGACTCAGGGCTCACTATTGAGATGACTCCTGGAGCCTTTAGATGCCCCATGGCACTGGTGTCAGGAGACACTAAAGAGGTGCTACTGGAGACCGCAGCAAGCTGCGACTAGCTACTGACATGAAGGCTGCAGGCGTCTGTGCTGGCTTCACTTCAGAGCTAAGACAGGGCTTGGTACATTCCCAGAAAGGGCCAGGTAGGAAACACCATAAGCAGTAGGGCAATATTCGACCCTGCCCTTATAGTGGGAAACAGCCATGATGGTATAGAAATGAATAATCTAGGCTGTGTGCCAGTAAACCTTTATTACAAAAATATTTTAAGAGGCAAAGATCCCATGTCATATGATCCCATTTATAGGAAATTCCCAGAATAGGCAAATCCATAGAGACAAAGTGGATTAGTGGTTGCCAGGGGCTGCAGGAAGAAGCAATGTGAGTTCATAGGCACGGTTGGAGTGATGATGTTCTGGGATGGTTGTACAATCTTCTAACTATACTGAAAATCGTTGAATTATTACTCTATCAAAATTATTATTTTTTAAAGTCATGGTCTCATTCTGTCATCCAGGCTGGATTTCAGTGGTGCCATCATAGCACACCACAGCCTTGACCTCCTGGACTCAGGTGATCCTTCCACCTCAGCCTCCCAAATAGCTGGGACTACAAGCATATATACTACCATGCCTGGCTAACTTTTAAATTTTTTGTAGAGATGGGGGTCTCCTTATGTTGCCTAGGCTGGTCTCGAACTCCAGAGCTCAAGCGATTCTCCTGTCTCAGCCTCCCAAAGTGCTAGGATTACAGGAATGAGCCACCATGCCCAGCCTCATGTCCTAGTTTGATACGGCCCTGAATTATGCACTTTATTTTATTTATTTATTTTTTTGAGTTGGAGTCTCACTCTGTCGCCCAGACTGGAGTGCAGTGGCCGCTCCCAGCCACCACAGCTTCGACCTGCTGGGCTCCGGCGATCCTGCCGCCTCAGTCTTCCGAGTAGCCGGAATTACAGGTGCGCGCTACCACACCTGGCTGATTTTTTGATTTATTGTAGAGATGAGGTCTTGCTGCCCAGGCGGGTCTCGAACCCGCGGGCTCAGGCAATCCACTCACCTCAGCCTCCCAAAGGCGCGGGATTACAGGCTGAGCCACCGAGTCCGGCTGAATTATGAACTTTAAATGAATTTATTATATATGAATTATATCTTTATAAAGCTGTTTTAAATTTAAAACAACAGTAGCAGCAGTCAGGCTGGACTTGGTCCCTGGGCCATAGTTTTTGACCTTGGACATAGTCTGAACAAAGAACCTCTAAGATTTACAATGCATCTTTCTTCATAAGAACTCTCATTCATTTCTAGGTGAACTAATTTCAAAAGAGAAAATGATTTTTAGGAATTTAATTAAAGGAAAGTTGTGCATTAGTTTAAAAAATATTCAATCATAAACATCTAGGGCCACGGTTATTTCAGACTTCCAGCCTCACGTCCTTTATCTTCACACTGCAAAGTGACAATGCCCTTTCTCATGTGCCTCTTCCTGGACGTCCTGAGGTTTGTACATGGCATTTACAGGTCTCTCACTGTCATGAGCTCATGAGAGGTCTGCCCTCTGGCCGACCTATCTGCTTTGCCAACTGCTTCCACTGACTAAATATATATATATATATATATTTTTTTTTTTTGAGTTGGAGTCTCACTCTGTT